CCTGTTTTTCTTTTTATTTTCTTTTTTCTTTTCTCTAAAAAAACCCCCTTTCTTTTCTAAACCGATGAACCTTAATTTTTCCCCTAAAAAAAATCAACCCTAAACCCCTTTTTTTTGAAATCCAAAACTCCCCTGTTTTTTTTTGTATTTTTCCTCTGTATAATTTTTCTTCTACTTCCCTGGTGAACCAATCTTACCTTTTATTTTGTTTTCGATTTCTGTTGCCATGTCTTTACTAAAAAAAGGCTTTGATGGCTTTTTAGCTAATAACCCGCTACCTAATGAACAAGAGTTTTCTCTTAATGGGAAAACGAAAACTGGAAGTGTTATTGGACTGATGGAACTAAAAGAATGGAACTTGTCCTTTTCTTTCGTGTGTGTGTTTTTTTTTTACTGCTAAAAGGCTAAAACTGCCATCCTAGAACCCTCCTCCCTTCACTGTTTTTAATTTTCTATCTAATGGCTTCAATCATTTTTTAGTTCTCAACATCCCTTTCCCCTTATTCTCCTTGAAGGCTTTTGATAGTAACTTTTTGGCTTTTTCTGTAATTCCCACTTGTAGGGAATTTATTGCCCTCGGCTTGTTTTTTTTCTTTTTGTTTGAACTTAGCATACTTGCCGGTTGGTGTGGCAGTGAGTGCTAGGGTTGGTGGCTTGGTGCTGGCAGAGTAAGTGGCTTTTTGATTTACTACTTCTTGCTGTCTTGTTTGCTTGCCCTGTTTGTCACCTCATTAATTCACGTGTATTTTCCACCCCTGCAAGAAGGCCTTGGTGACATGGCACGTGCAGACAGATTTGGGGCCCATCCGAACCAATTGCCTACATGGTGAGGTCTCTCTCTTTTTCAAAGCCCTTGGTCTTGTTGGTTTTGTCTCGTGCTCTTTCTCTTTTTGCTGCATGGTATTTTTTATTGCTCTGCATGAAATGTGCCTTTGGGGAGTGCCTATGCTTATTAAAATGTGTATGCATGTATGTTGTAATGCGAACTTATGCTAGGTACACTAATCATATGGCCACTAAATTGATTACAATGCTGCTTCTTCTTGTATTTAGGGATGCATATGGATTAAAATACATGTATTTATGCTCCGTGTTTTGGTGTTTTTAGATGTGAAATGCAACTAGAATGTTTGTGATGTAACTCTAAATATGATAACTATGCTTGAGAACAAATTGGGAACATGATGACTGGAATTTGGTGCTGCAAATGCAGTGAGATGCTATGTAATAATGTTGTCAATGGACTGTTTATTACATCTTGTTCAGGAGACTGTTTTTTGAATGCAATGATGATTATATGCTTAGTGTAAAATGGAAAATGTTCATTAAGTTTTAGAATGTTATCCTGAATGATTTGAGCCTAATACTAACATAAAATGCTTGTGAGATGAATGCCGACATGATCATTCCATATGCTGATGTCTACTGTTTTGGGTGTTTTTATTTGCACATGAACTGTTTTAAATGTATGAAATGCCATGAGTTGGGGCCTGGGGGCGAATTGATGCAAATGCACTTGAGATTTATGAGTGGATGGTCATGGCCTGTGTTATTGAAGTGCAAGTGCACAGGCTGCTGAATTGGACTGCTGCAAAAGGGTGTTTTGTTTCTGTGCTGCTTTGTATGAAATGTAATGGATGATATGCTGAAAATGCTAAGAAAAAATTTGGAATGAGACTCTGCCATCTTCTAATTTACTTTCCGCACTCGTTCTGCAGATTAAAACCCAAATGGAGTCTAAGAGTGTCAAATTAGGGAGAAAATTAATGTTAAGGGCAAGAGGAATCAAGGCATGAGACCGAGAGACCAACAAATTGAATTTGCAGACTTATGTATATCATTTCGACCTTGTAAATCGTATTCTCTTAATGAGAATTGCCGTTTGTTGCAAACTGCTATTTCCCCTCTTTTTCCTCTTTATTTATTTGTTTATTAATAAGTATATATACATACCCAACTAAATTAACATGATATTGATGTGGATCACCTTGGACCTTAACCAATTCATAATTAACCTAATGGGAACATAGCTATTTTAATTGACCTTAAAAGCAGAGAACCCAATAATGCCTAATAATCTAAAAAGGAAAAGCGAATGGGAGGAAGTTACAAAAGAACTGAGTAGAAATCAAAATTTAGTAGAGAATTAAAGGTGAACTAAGCTGTTACTTGTACTACTAAAAAGAATTGCTGGGAAAGAGATTAAAGCGGAGACAATTAAAAGAGAGAATTTAGAGATAATGACTATAAAGGAATGAGTAACAAGCAAAGGACACGAGTGAGGACTAAATGAATTGGAAATTGAATTGGAAATAAACAAGATGCAAATCTATATTTTTGTATTTTGGCAAAACGTTTATCCAGAATGTAAGTTTGAAGGTGCTACCAAATGAAGCACTATGATGCATGCAATTTACCATGATGTCTAAAAATGATTTAGTTATCTCAAACTATCAGTGAACCAGAAATGACCAGAATGCCCTTAAGCGCATAAATGACCAAAGTGCCCTTGGGAGATCCTGATGGAAATTTAGGAGCCACTTGATTTTATTAAAAGGATACAAGCGAAATTAGGGTGTCTACACCTTCATGAGTGACTTCCAGCTTATCCCAGATTTCTTTAGCAGTCTCACAGCCAGCAATTCTATTGTATTCAGTGGCGCTCAAAGCATAGTGCAGACTGTTGACAGCTTTGTAGTTGACCTGAATTTTTCGAACATCATCAGCATTCCATTCATCCCAACTTTTTGGAACTTCTTTTCCTTCTGCATCTGTTTTCTTGGGAACAAATGGTCCATGGACAACTACTCTTCACATGTTAAACTCATTAGCCTTCAGGTAGACAGTCATTCTGTTTTTCCATCATTGATAGTTTGTTCAATCAAACAGAGGGGGTCTGTGAGTGGACTGGCCTTCTGCTATAATGTTTGCAACATTTTGAGAAGAAAATCCAGCAGCCATATTGGATCTCTTTTGGGGATGTTAATCCGGTTGATTAAGAGACAGGCTCTGATACCAATTGTTGGTCCCAATGTGGTGCTAGAGGGGGGGTGAATAGCCCACTTCGAAGAACTTTTCTGCAACACAGAATATTAGTGCAACCAGATAGAATGAAGAAACAAGTGGGAATAATATGAGCAAAGCAGACACAATATATGTGATCGAGCTCAAATTATGCATATTTTTATGGCCATTTTTCTATACTTTTTACCACTTTTATATGCAATTTTAGCTTATTTTCTAATTATTTGTGTTTTTAGTCTTTATGAGAAGTGAAATTGAGAATTTGCTTATTTTCACTACTTTTGAAGCTATTTTGATGACTTTTTACACATATATTAGCAAAGTAATTTTGAGCATAGATTTGGAGATGCAAAATTTGTGTTTGAAGATTTCTTGAAGATAATTTGAAGACTTAAAGATCATTGAAGAATTATTTCAAGGAGCAAGGATTGCAGATTGGAGCTCAAATTACAAAGGATTGAAGCCAAGCCCAGAAGAAGCCCTGAAGTTGAGGATTTTTGGATAAATTATATGGGAATATACTCAGCCCATATAAACATATAATTGGAATTAAAATCTCAATTTGTACACCTAATATCCAAAAGAATATCCAAATCCCGCAATAATCCCGTAGATTTGCGATATAAGCCCAGTTTCAATGCAGTTTTCGTAGAAAGACCATAACATTCTGCTCAGATGTCCGTTTTAAGCCCATGAGTAGCCGTTGGAAAGCTAACTCCGAGCTCTACAACTTTCCTTTGAAGACCGAAGCCATATTCTGCTGTTTTCAAGCCCGAATCTTCCAGTGAAGTTTCTGTAGAAATCCAGAAAATTCCAGAATCCTATTTTGACTTGGATTCTACTCTAGGATGACATCTAATCCAACTTGGAGTCTAAGTCAGCCCTAAACCGCCCTATCTATGTTCATCCACTATAAATAGCCACCTTAGGTCTAGATTTTTTATGTAATTTTTATTCTCATAAGATATATTGTTTAGTTGAAGATTTGGAGGAGAAAAACCCTAGGAGCCGCCCCCGTTCTCTTCCTCATCCATAGATAAGTTTTCTTCTTCTTATTTGTGGATGCTCACTCAATTTATGAGTGAGTAATCCATTTCTTTCCTCCAATGTAGAATTTAATTGATCTCTTGACTTATTCCATGGTGAGATTTTGTGCTTTTATATGAGAATTTATTTGAGTATTTCTTGGATCTCTGAATGAATTCTATGTTGCTTGTTTTGATTGATTGGGTCGACACTTTCATGATAGATTGAGTTAGCATTGGCTAGATTAAGTTGTGAATTAATCACTCCAGCTTAATTTTATGTAGCAATTGGATGTGAATTAATCCTCCGTCCAAGAGAGAAAAGAATCAATGGGCGAGAAATTTCTCATTGTGCTTGTTATTAAATTACTTGTTCTTCATGCCTTATTCCTAAGTGATCTTTAAGCCCTAAGAAAGCAATTGATTGCTGAAAGAATAAAAGGGATAGATTGACTTTAATCGGTAATCTAATCTAATTAAGGTAATTTAGGTTAAGTCCGACAGGCTATTCAAAGTTCTCATAATCTTTATATATCAATGATCCATGTTATTGTTGTCAAGAGGGATATTAATTTTATGTTGGAGGTTTCTATTTAATTGATTTTCTCATAATATTCACTGCTTTTTAATCAATTGTTTTTTTTAATTTTCTTGAGTACTCTCTTAGTTAATTTACTTTTAGTTAGATTTAATTTTAATTCTTCTTTAAATTCTCTTTATTAATTTGTTTTGTTTGAGAAAAGGAAGTGCCGATCTCTCTGTGGGTTCGACCCCTACTTGCCCTAGCTAGTTTAGTTAGTAATTGTTGGGATAATTATTTTTATGATTACTGACGACCGATCATAAATTTTGGCGCCGTTGCCGGGGAGATTGTGTTTAAATTTCTTTTTCTCTTATTTTGTTTTCTATTAGATTTGCACTTGATCATCTTTGTTTTACAGAAAAGATCCAATGGAGCAATCACAAACGTTACGAGAGCTGAATTTCAACTGTGAATTGCCGCCCCTTTGTATTGACTATCCAACCATGGATATGTCTTACAAATTGAAGCCAAGAGTAATCCGTATGTAGCCGATTTTTCAAGGAGAACATCATGAGAATCCTCATGAACATCTGCAAAGTTTCTTTCTGAAGTGTGCCACAATCACTGGGATGCCTGAAAAGGACTTGAAACTTCGAACTTTTCCTCTCACATTAGACGGAAAGGCAAAAGAATGGTTCTTAAGACTACCACCCAAATCCATAAAATCTTGGAAAGAGATGGAGACAGTATTTTTGAACAAATATTTTCCGGAAGCTAAGCGTGCTGATGTCAGAAGAAAGATCAACACTTGTCAACAATTGAAAGGCGAAAAGTGGTACCAATACTGGGAGAGATATAACCAGATCTGCGCAAGCTGCCCCTACCACAACATCAGCAAAGCACTTTTGATCCAACACTTATATGATGGCCTTATTTATGAAGATCGCACTTATGTCGATGCTACCAGTGGAGGAGGACTTACATTCAAAACCCCTAAAGAAGCAAGAAAGCTGCTCAACACTATGGTGGAAAATATACATAAATTTGGTACAACCAATGAAGCCGATGCAACAAAGGACTCAGAGATAGCAGAAATTCGAAGAGAGTTAAAGGAGGTGACTACTCAATGCGGAAATTTAGCAAAGATGTTTGCTGAATTTATGAGTGTTTGTTCACAACCTTCTATTCAAAAAAGAGGAATCAATGCTATTGAAGAAACTCAGCATTGGATGCAATTGCCTAAAGTACCTGCGATGTCAACAATTCCAACACCTATTTTTCCTAAAACCCTACCACCGATTGATGTGTTCAATGATCCAATTCAAGGAAAGATGGAGACTTCGACCGAGATCAGAGAAGGTGTACCTGCCGCAAACGATGAACATCAACAATCAGAAGAAGAATGGATGGAGGAGATGCAAGTTAAGTATGATCCACTACCATTCCCTCAAAGCTTTGCTCAACAACTCAATTTACTTCGGAAATTAGAGGTAAACATTCCTTTAGTTGATGAAATAGTCAAAGTACCAAGGTATGCTTCTTTCCTTAGAGAATTATGCAACAATAAGAATAAGTATGATAAAAAATATGCCTGCATCGATGAAAATATATCTGCTGCTTATCAAAGGAAATTGCATCATAAATGTAATAGTTTAGGTTCCTAATCTATTCCTTGTAGTATAGGAAAGAATGAAGTAGGTAATGCTATGTGTGAATATGGATCTTTGATTAATATCATGCCTTATTCTGTTTATAAGCAATTGAAAATAGAACCTCTGCTCGAAACTGATCTTATTATCCAATTTGCTGATAGAACTAACCATAAACCTGAAGGTTTAGTTGAGAATGTTTTAGTGCAGATAGGAGATTTTGTTTTTCCTGCAGATTTCTATGTCTTGAAGATGAGTGAGGATGACATTCATCTACCTCAAATGCCACTACTGTTAGGAAGACCGCTTCTGATTGCAGCAAGTATGGAATTCAATGCAAAAGAAGGAACAATCACTATGGAATTAGATGGAAAGCCTATTGTAATCAACATAAGTGAAGCAATGAAAGCTCCTGCCGAAATTCATTCTATCTATTCCATTGACACAATTGGTACTTACTCAGAAGAAGTACAAGCACTCAATCAAGAAGATGAACTTGAAGTGATCCTCACCAAAAGTTTACATCAACAAGACGTTGAAGAAGCAGAAGTCGAGATGCCAAAAGAGATAGCAGAAACTGTCAGCCAACTATCATTTAATGAAGAGGTGGAGACGATTTCTTACATCAATCTGGAGCCAACGCCCAAGCCGTTACCATCCATCATTCAACCTCCAGAAGTCAAGCTGAAACCGCTTCCTGAAGGCTTGAAACATGTTTTCCTTGGAGATAATGACACCCTGCCTGTTGTTATTTCAAGTAAATTGAACGATTTACAAGAAGAACAACTAATCAGAGTTTTGAAGGAATAAAAAGAAGCCATTGGATGGACTGTAGCTGATATCAAAGGAATAAGTCCTACTGTATGCATGCATAGGATTCGACTTGAAGATGATGCAGTAGCAGTTCAACAGCCGCGAAGAAGACTAAATCCGAATCTTGCTGAAGTTGTTAAAGATGAAGTTCTTAAATTACTTGGAGCTGGTCTCATTTATGCTATATCAGATAGTAAATGGGTCAGTCCGGTCCAAGTAGTTCCAAAGAAGTCCGGTTTCACTGTCATAGAAAACAAGGATGGAGAGCTAGTTCCTCAAAGATTGCAAAATGGATGGAGAGTAGGCATTGACTACAGAAAGCTGAATTCCGCCACAAGAAAAGATCACTTTCCGCTGCCATTCATTGATCAGATGTTGGAAAGATTAGCTTGCAAGGCCTACTATTGTTTTCTGGACGGATACTCGAGATACTTTCAAATTCCAATTACACCTGAAGATCAAGAGAAGACCACGTTTACATGCCCTTTTGGTACGTATGCTTACACAAAAATGCCTTTTGGTTTATGCAATGCACCTGCAACTTTTCAAAGGTGCATGATGAGCATCTTTCAAGATTATGTGGGAGATAAGATGGAAGTTTTCATGGATGATTTCACAGTCTATGGAGATAACTTCAATCAATGTCTCAATAATCTAGAACTCATCTTGAAAAGGTGTGTTGAAACCAAATTGGTATTGAATGCCGAAAAATGTCACTTCATGGTAGAACAAGGCATTGTTCTAGGCCATGTAGTATCCAAAGAGGGGATGCAAGTCGATAAAGCCAAAGTCAACGTTGTACAGAACCTGGCAAGTTTGTTAGGCACATATTTTCTTATATTTTAAATGTTAATTCTATTTGATTATGTGCCTATTTTTATGTACTTGATGCTTAATTTATTCATATTTATGTTTTAGGTACATATTGGAGTGTTTCGAGGCAAAAGGAGCTAAATTGGAGCTATTTAGAACAAGTTGGAAAAATTTTGTTTCAACCTGAGGCGGGTCGAAATCAAGCTAAAAATTCTCCTGTTTCGACCCTACGGAAGGTCGAAACAGGGCTGTGAAATCAAGATAGAATTTGGAAGGCACGTTGGGCTCAACTCATTGGGCTTAATATTAAGACCAGCTGGACATTACATTTGGGCCTTGGAAAGACTTGTTTATCCCATATTATTTACTTTAGTAATTATTAGGAATTTTATGGGCAAGGTTGTAATTTGCCTAAACTTAAAATATTAGGTTTTTATATATAAGCCAGCCGCATGCCTTACAACGGGATTGGATTTGGAAATTCTAGATTTTGCTTTTGCTTTTAAGAACGTGAATTCAAGTATGGAGATTTTCTTCATTCTTGATTATTTTGTAAACTTTCTTTATTAGTTAATTAAATTTTGACACTTTCAATCTCTTGGGTATTTGATTTGTGAGGCTCTACGCTTATTCATCTATCTTGTAAGTATTTCAATTTTCTCTGAATTATTTGAATGATTTTATGCTTGATTATGTAGAATGGCCATCTATTTAATTAGGTATGATTTCTATTGTTAGATAAGATTCCTATATGCAATCGTAGGTAATTAAATCACAAGTAACAACTTAGAGTAGCCCTCTAAGAGAATTTTGAATATAGATTGAATGTTGCCTATATTAGTGAGCATTGTCTATTGTTGGCTAAAATCTTTCTAGTTCTTAAAGCAATGGGTTACTTGAATCTGGTAGACGCTTGGAACTAGGTTAGTACATCTGTTAGGATTTAGTCTAGGACTTGCGTCATGACTAATGAAGACTAAGGAAAGATAGGGATTAATGGGCGTTTGACATTAATCTACGCCATCTATTTACCAAGTTAGATATTAATTGATGCCAAGGATCAAATCCTTTTAACCCAAGAGTGCGATTGTCTTGAAATTGGAATGTCTATTTAATTGTTTCTTTAATCTCTCTATTAGTTTAATTTGTGTTTTATTTAGTTTAATTAATTTCTACATAAAACCCCCCATTTTATTTTAGTTCACAACTTTAGGAAAAGTAATTAAAACAATAGTTCTCTGTGGGATCTATTCGTACTTACCCTATCTATTGGTTTTGTATGATTTTTATTTTTGGTGGAATACGACACCCATCAAATTTTGGCGCCGTTGCCGGGGAACTCATTTGTTTTGTTACTTTCCTTTAGTTTTGTTTTATTTCGTATTGTGTTTTTTTTTGTGTGTTTTTGTTATTTTTGCAGGTTTAGGCATCAAGCACTGCTTTACAAGTCACCCCTCCATTCAAGTGTTGAAGAATTATTGGATAAATTTGGTTTCCTCATTCCTTGAATTTAATTTATATTTTCATTATTATGGAACATGGAGACCAACTTTTTCATAATTCCTACAATGAGCCATATGCAAGTTATCACCCATTGGAGGAACAACAAATTCCTGCACACTTGGTGGCTTTCATGGAAAAGCTTGTTGAGGGAACATCCTTGCTTGCTAAAGGACAATCGTTAACTAAACAAAAATTATCGATACATGAACAAGAAATACAAGATCTAGGAAATCAAGTGGGACAACTTGTTGATTCCTTAGGAAGGGTTGAATCTTACCTCAATACCCTCGAGGAAGAAGAAAATGTAGCATGGGAAGTGAACCAAGGTGAGAATGAAGCTGAAAAAGAAGAGAAAACAAAATCTGTTTCAACCTCAAAAAGGGTCGAACTAGACCCTGAGGAAGGTCGAACTGGGCTGAAAAATCTCCTGTCTCAACCCGTGGAGGGGTCGAACTCGACCTTTTTAGGGGTCGAAACAGAAACTTTCCAAGACAAACTTAATGAGATAACTTCTTCAGTTAATCAACCTCAACTCCTTCCCATGCCAATTTTAAGTGGAAATTCCGCATCCGAAGTCAATATGGTTGATAGCTCTTCTCCAATTGAGTTTTTAAGATGTGGGAATCAAGATTTCCTAGGGATTGAAGAGTTTTTGAAGTTTGGATGCTTCAATGGTAATGATTCATATGACGAATGGGTGACAATGGAGCCATTCAGATGATGCCTGCAAATTTAACAATGTTGCCAAGATGCTAAGAATGCAAGAGGAGTCTAAAATCAATTTCTTTTATTCAAAGAAGCTCTTGCACAAACCCACCACGGCAACAACAAGGGCATTGACTTTACTGGCCATTCATGGAGTTCCTTTGAGCAAAATAGGTGACTTCCTTCCATATCTCTTTACTTTTCTTTTATTCTTATATGTTCATATCTTTCGATTTAGTTCATATTTGATTTTTGCATTGAGGTGGAAAGATCCTCCTTGACAAATAGAGAATGGAAAAGTCTAGCCAAAGACATTAAAGAAAGGCGCTTGTTGGGAGGCAACCCAATGATTTATTTTTGTTTTTGTTTTGAATTTTATGTTTATTAGTTTTTAATTAATTTTTGCATATTTCATGTTTAGGACCTTATATAAGACATGCTATGATACTTTGTGCTTATTGCTATACTTGCTTGATTTATTGGATTGGGTGCACACTTTCTTGATAGATTAAGTATTGCATATATCATGTCATTGATAATTGTCCCCACCTTTGTGCTTAATGTGTTGCTATTGATCTAACCAAAAGATTTTTATAACAATTCATTGATTTTTGAAATTATTTTCAAAAATTCTAAAATTGTTTTGAGTACACATTGTCTTATCTCTTTGATTTATCTATGAAATCTAGTTTGGCATGGCTTAGTTTAGTATTAAGGCATTTGTAATATATTTCAAATTTTCATATGCAAGATTATTCTTTGATTGAAATTTATAGGGAGCTTTTCATAAAGTATTACTTCTAGAACTTGCTTGACTATCCTTTCGAGGCGATTTATTTATTTAGCTCATTATCTTTTATAGTGTACACTTCTATGGAACTAGAAAATATGCATTTTAGGATTGAGTTTGAGCCTAAATGTTGCCAACACTTTTGAAAGACCATAGTAGTGAACCCTATTGAGTCATTTTCTTGGTTATAGCTTATATTTGTTATATTTCTTGTTTTTAGCCACATTATCCCAAAAAACCCTAACCCTTTGAAAGAAAGACAAGTTTTCTCTTAACCTTATTATTACTTGATTGGTGAAGTTTGACTTGTTTCATTGTTGGTTCTTGGCTAAAGCATGGAAATCGGTTATTTGTGAGGGATTCCTTCTATTCCTTAGTTGGAGATCCTATTTGAAGGGTTGAGTAGATGTCCAAGAGATTCAATTGAAAAGTTTTAAATATATATATATATATATATATATATATATATATCAAGTTAGTAACTTGAGGTGGGAGAGCATAAAATGCAACCACCAAGAAAATTCAAAAAAAAAAAAACACTTGTGCTTATAGTTATGGACATCCATTTGAGCACTCATTGTTTGGTAAAGCTAAGAAGGAAGAAGAAAGTTGAAGTTCTTGGAGTCAAGTTTTGGGCTACTCATTGATATATTTGCCCATGATTATTTTCACTTCACCTTTCTTGAAATATTTTTGATATATCCCTTACCATTTCTTTGATAATCCACTTTACCCATTAGCCCCATTACAACCCTTATTATTAATGCATTCTAGCTCTTGTGTATACCATGCTTTATTTCATTTGAGCTAATATTTAGTGGAGATTGGATAGTTTTGCAAGCCTATGGTAAGTATACTATTATGAGTGGATTATAAATATGATGAACCCTATAATATTTTGATTGGATTGTTGAGCATATTTTTATTTGATTTATATTACATTTGAAGTTTTACAAACCTTTATTATACCTTTTTAGAATTAGTGGATGAATTTTTGAGATGACCTTTTGTGCACTCCACATTTTAAACTCTTTTTGAATAAAAACACATTTTTGGTTGATTATTTTAGGAACTACTTTCATATTGAGGACAATGTGTTATTTAAGTGTGGGGGAGGAAAATGTCTATTTTAAAGGTCTATTCTTTACATTCCTTTTACTAAAGAAGGCTTTTCAAAAGGATTTTTAAAATTTTTCAAAAATTTTTGCTTTTCAAAACTTTTGCTTCTCTAGTGAAATTCTTCTACATAATGTTTGTGGGTGTCGTTCTAGTCAAGTAAGCCCTCAAGAGACTATACTCCTCCTCTAGGGACGCTTAGGGGTTTAAAGGCTTGTGGTTTACGCTAAAAACCACCGTGTGCCTACGAAAGTGGAACTAAGTCATTTGTTGCATGTGATTTTCCTTTTTGATTTTAGAGTGTTTGTTTGCATACGAATTTGTTTACTTGTCTTTAGTTTTCCTTGAGTTTTTAGTCTATGTTTTGTTTTCTAGCTTGCTAGGGACTAGCAAGATCTAAGTGTGGGGGAATTTGTTAGGCACATATTTTCTTATATTTTAAATGTTAATTCTATTTGATTATGTGCCTATTTTTATGTACTTGATGCTTAATTTATTCATATTTATGTTTTAGATACATATTGGAGTGTTTCAAGGCAAAAGGAGCTAAATTGGAGCTATTTAGAACAAGTTAGAAAAATTCTGTTTCAACCTGAGGCGGGTCGAAATCAAGCTAAAAATTCTCCTGTTTCGACTCTACGGAAGGTCGAAACAGGGCTGTGAAATCAAGACAGAATTTGGAAGGCACGTTGGGCTCAACTCATTGGGCTTAATATTAAGACCAGCTGGACACATTACATTTGGGCCTTGGAAAGACTTGTTTATCCCATATTATTTACTTTAGTAATTATTAGGAATTTTATGGCAAGGTTGTAATTTGCCTAAACTAAAAATATTAGGTTTTTATATATAAGCCAGCCGCATGCCTTACAACGGGATTGGATTTGGAAATTCCAGATTTTGCTTTTGCTTTTAAGAACGTGAATTCAAGTATGGAGATTTTCTTCATTCTTGATTATTTTGTAAACTTTCTTTATTAGTTAATTAAATTTTGAGACTTTCAATCTCTTGGGTATTTGATTTGTGAGGCTCTACGCTTATTCATCTATCTTGTAAGTATTTCAATTTTCTCTGAATTATTTGAATGATTTTATGCTTGATTATGTAGAATGGCCATCTATTTAATTAGGTATGATTTCT